GATCGCCTGCTGGGATCGAGTGGGTGTGGGGCCGCCGGGAGGGGCTGTGGGGTTGGGGGGGGATCGAGTGGCTGTGGGGTTGCGGGCGGTGGGATCGAGGGGGGATCGTCAGGGGGATCGTCTCCCGCTGTGTGCTGCTGTGCTCATAGTCTTGCTGCTGCGGGAGAGGGAGGAGGAGACAAACAGTTTGTTTATATAGCAGCAGCAGCAGCAGCAGCAGCAGCAGCAGCAGCAGAAGCAGAAGCAGCAAAAGCAGCAGCAGCAGCAGCAGTAGGAAGCAACAGACAGAAACAGAAACAGATCTGTCTATATAAAAAAAATATATATAAAGTTTATTCTATATATATATTCTGAGGTGTATATACACCTCAACAACAACAAAAGCAAAAAAAAGAAAAAAAGAAAAAAATAAACAGCTGGCTGGCTGCCTCGTGTACAGCGGGAGGAGTTTGTTGCTGCTTTTTCTTTTTTTATTTTTATTTAATTTATAATAAATAAATAAATAAATACAAAAATAAATAAATAAAACAATAAAACACAAAAAACAATAAACAAACACCTCCTTCCCGGGGGGGCCCCACATACGCAGCCGCTGCGGTGTACATACACCCCAGTTTATTTTTTGTTTTTTTTTGTTTTTTTTTTTGTTTTTTTTTGTTTTTTTTTGTATATACACCTCAGTTTCTTTGTTTTCCAGCTGTACGTACACCTCAATACTCCGCTCGCTCAGGTGTACGTACACCCCAGAAGTCTTATTCTGCTGCAGCCTACTGCCTGTGGCTGCCAGTTGCAGCAGCAGCAACAGCAGCAGCAGCAACAGCAGCAGCAGCAACAGCAGCAGCAGCAACAGCAGCAGCAGCAACAGCAGCAGCAGCAGAACGGCTGTTAGCAGAGACTGCTCCCACCTGATCCTTGTACTGCAGCACACAGCCGCTGCAGCAACAGCAGCAGCAGCAGCAGCAGCAACAGCAGCAGCAGCAGCAACAACAACAACAGCAGCACCAGCAACAGCAGCAGCAGCAGCAGCAACAGCAGCAGCAGCAGCAGCAGCAACAGCAGCAGCAGCAGCAACAGCAGCAGCAGCAGCAGCAGCAACTTCATGTAGCGTGACACTGTGTGCAGCAGCAAATGCTGTCTTCGGCTGTCTTATAAGGAAGCCCATCGAGGGCTTCTTCCGTTTCTTTTTGCTGCTGCCGAGTTGCTGCTGCAGCAGCAGCAGCAAGATGAGCAGCAGCAGCAGCAACGGCAGCAGCATAAGCAGCAGCAGCAGTAGCAGAGAAGAAACAGGCAGATTGGAAGCAGCAGCAGCAGAATCCAGTGCTGCTGCTGCTGCTGCTGCTACTACTGCAGCAACAGCAGCAAAAGCAGCAGCAGCAAAAGCAGCAACAGGGGGTGCAGCAGGTCTGTTGGGGTTAAATGACAAGCTGCTGCTGCTGCTGCTGCAGTGGCTGCCGCTGCGAGAGCAGCAGCAGCTGCTGCTGCTGTCTCGTGGGGTGTATAGGCAGCTATGCATGCTGCCGTTTGTTGATAGTATCTGCTGCTCCCCAGGCAGCAGCCTGCAGCAGCTAGTGCAGCAGCACGTCCATCATCCGCTGCTGCTGCAGCAGCAGCAGCAGCTGCTGCAGCAGCAGCAACACCTGCAGCAACTCAAATCCCACCTGCAGCAACAGCATCAGCTGCTGCAGCAGCAACACGAGCAAAGAAGCCAACGCTCTAATCAGCAGCAGCAGCAGCAACAGCAGCAGCAGCAGCAGCAACAGCAACAGCAGCAGCAGCAGCAACAGCAACAGCAACAGCAGCAGCAGCAGCAGCAGCAACGCAACGGTCCCCTGTTTAAGAGAGTTCTCGATGAAGAACAGCAGCAAGCGGATGCCCCTTGCAGCAAAAAGAGCAGAGACGGGTCTGCTGCTGCTGCTGCTGCTGCTGCTGCTGCTGCTGCTGCTGCTGCTGCACAGGGCTCTGATCATCAAGGGCTGCAGCCTCCAGCAGCAGCAGCAGCAGCACCTGCTGCTGCTGCTGCTGCTGCAGCAGGTGGAGATGGCAGAAACGGCAGCAGCAGATACTGCAACGGCGTTGCTGCCACCGCAGCAGCAGCAACAGCAGGAGCAGCAGCAGCAGCAGCAGCATCGAAACCAGCAGTCTCTCCTGTTGCTGCAGCATCCCCTCAAGCGCGTCCCGAAGAGCAGCAACAGCAACAGCAGCAGCAGCAGCAGCAGCAACAGCAGCAGCAGCAGCAGCAGGAGGAGGATGAGGTTGAGGTGTATCTGCAGCACTGTCCTTTGCTGCGTCGCTTTGTTAGATGCCGCTGCGTGGATTTGTCTGTTGCTGCTCACCTGCAGCCATCCCCGCTGCTGCTGCTGCTGCTGCTGTGCTGCAGCAAGCTGCTGCAGCGGCTTGTTGTACGAGGATACGATGAAGGCAGCTTCAGGTTCCGCAGGCAGCAGCACCAGCTGCTGCTGCTGCAGCAAAAAATGCAGCAGCAGCAGCAGCAGCAGCAGCAGCAACAGCAGCAGCAAAACAACACGGATATGCAACAGCACACAGACAAACTCCAGCAGCAGCAGCAGCAGCAGCAGCAGAAGCCAGGCAATAGTGGCCCTCTATTAGCCCCCAGCATGGACTTGGCGAGCAGCAGCAACAGCAACAGCAACAGCTGCAGCAACAGCAGCAACAGCAGCAGCAGCAGCAGCGACGGCACCAGCAGCAGCAGCAGCAGCAGCAGCAGCAGCAGCAGCAGCAAGACATGTGTATGTGAGCCTTGTTGTGTTGCATCTTTGCTGCCTGATAGTTTTCGTTCTTATAAGCTATGGCTGCCTGCAGCAGCAATGAAGTTGCTGCTGCTGCGCTGCAGCAGCAAGCTGCAGCAGCTGCTGCTGGATGTTTCTCTGCGGCAGGGGTTTGGTTTGTCTCCTTTTGCTGCTCTTCACCTCAACATACAAATGAAGGCCCTTAAAGAAATGGAATTAGTTAATCTCACTAGACACAACTTCAGGTACGTATGCTGCTGCTGCTGCTGCTGCTGCTGCTGCTGCTGCTGTGGGTGCTGCTGCTGCTGGGGGTGCTGCTGTGGGTGCTGCTGCTTCTGTGGGTGCTGCTGTGGGTGCTGCTGCTGCTGTGGGTGCTGCTGCTGCTGTGGGTGCTGCTGCTGCTGCTGTGGGTGCTGCTGCGGCATTTGTGTTTGTGCTGGCTCTACTTCGGCTCT